CGCTACGATAGAAAAAAAATCTTTATCCTTTATTTTATCTTTGTTTTCGAAAATAAAGAAAAACTTTATATTTATTTTATAAAGATAAAGATTATCTTTGTTGTAAAGTAAAATGAAGATAAAGTAATACCCATACGGTCTAGACAGAAAGTGAAGTTTTTAACATTTCACTTGTATTTTTTTTTGCATATAACCGTAAATCTTAATTTACGATGTTTCTTTTGAAAATATATAAGAAAAAAATGGCACGCAATTATTCTAATGGACAACATCCAATAAATGTTACTCATTCTCTGTAGAACTATTTTTGTCATACTGTTAAATGAAAGAAAAAAAATCCAATAATGACGGATTATATTAATTTTAGTAAAGTTCTATGAAATTCTCGATTGGTTTTAAAGCTGAATCACTGATAAGTTTAAAAGAATACGATTTAATTTCTTTTTAATTTGATTCTCTAATGGTTTAATCAAATAAAATATTTTAATTTCAAGAATTATTCAGGTAGATCGTCAATGTAGAGGTAGACTAAAGTATCGTACGGCTTACAAGATAATTCAAAATGTTGGAAGGATTTGAGATGAATGAAATAAGTGTCGTTTATTGAAGAAATACTACTGATATAACTCGAGTAAGAATCATGGATATAAAAATAAACTATAATATTTTTGGTTATCGTAAATAAATCCCGGTGCACTGTAATTAATCGTTGTTTATTCGATATTCGATCCTATTCTGCGGAATGATACTAAATATTTGTGTTGAAGTTCGAAAAACGTAATTAAAAGCGGCAACAATAGATATTCTCACAGTATACCTTACGCGCACTCTACAATTGCAGTAAATCAGACGAAAATTAAATGTACTTATCTATCGCGACTTCTATGTTAATTCTAAACTTTAATATTTATAGAATATATAATTAATAATTATGTTCATGTTGGTAAATGAGATCAACATATCTCTTTCACATTGTCTCGGATTCCATATGATAAACGTCATCATTGTACTGCGTATTAACATACTATAGAATATTTTTCCAGTTGAAAGTATTAACAAGAAAGTGGATATTCTTCGTGAGAGAAAAAATTATCGGTTGTTTTCTACAATATAGAAAAATAAGTATTCATGTTCCCGAAGAGAATAAAAAAGAGTATGTCATTCATTTCCTTTCTCTCCATTTAGATGTTAGTCATCGCTTCTACTATACATAGTAATAGAAACATAAAATAGAGAATATTCAATGTAGTATATGTGTATATCAATATGAGACAGTTACACATCCGGCACTAGTACTCACTTCCCTTCACATGCACACTCTGACGTTATTACTGATTTTTCAATTTCTTTAAAAACAATTTTTCTAAAATATTAAGCATTTTCGGAGTAATTAAAATTCCATGAATGAATAATAATTAAAGCCGATTTTCTACAAAGTAATATTCAAAGAATTTCACAAGAACTTTTTGTAGCTAAAATTTTCTGATCCACTTTCAGTAACATTTAATCTAGGCTAATCCGATAGATTTTGACAATTAAATGCATTGAAGATGAAAACAAATGAATTTATTTTCATCTTTAATGTATTTATTTGAGTAATTTCACTAGGGTGTGTTGCTGATTTAGAAAAAAGAAAAGGAACATTATAGAATTGTTAACTGTTAAAAAGAATGACTTTTAGATCGTTGGAATATATAATTTCAAGAACGAGTACTAATCTAATCTATCAATGAAAGTTAATATAGTGTAAAAAATTAAAATATTTATGCTTTAGACAGCTACGCGTATGACGTCGGAAAAATTATCTTGTCGTCAACATTGATTAAAAAATACGCAAAGGATAGAATGAAAACAGAACTCTTTTGGCAGTTCAGTGTTGACTTGTTAACCGCCACTGCGCTTTTGTACTAAGTTCTTTTTCATAATTACACAACAGAAAAACGTACCATGCATCTGCTTTAATAAAATTTTCTAATCCAGAGGCAACATATTGCCTGCATATACATCTCTGTTTTTACCATCACAATATTCTGACTTTTCTCTTGTCTCAAACAGAAAATTTTCAGAGTGCATTTCTCGATTGAGTTTTTCAGTTCTCTGAGAAAAGCAGATAGTAGAACTTCGCAAGGAAGAACTCTTTAATATTCCTTGCACGAAGATTTATGAGACGTCTTAATACGAGCGATACATGAAAAGATAGGTGTGCGTCATTGAAACGAAATAATAAGTAAAACATATTGTCTGCATTTTTTATGCTGATCATTTCTTTTATCATTATAGATAACGACTGTTGCTCACTCTACCTGATGTCTACGATCGCTGATACTCTCATCATTGTACAACAAACAATTACTCGCTATATTTTTCCTGTTTTTCTCGTATTAGGTAATTTCGGTAATCTGGTTTGCATTGCTATCTTTTCCCAAAAACACCATCGACGTAGTTCTTGTTCGATGTACTTGTTTGCTGCTGCTATGTGTAGTCTCATAGGTGTTAATTGGGGACTTGGCACTAATACCTATGCTTTCTATCAACCACCAGACCCATTCATTAAGTCACTCACTCTCTGTCGTATTCGAGGTTATATTTTGCAAGCATCTTCGATTCTTCATCGTACGTTGACTGTATTGGCATGTGCAGATCGATATGCAATGAGTTCGACTCAAGCCACCACGCGTAAGTTTAGTACACCAAAAATGGCATTGAAAATGATCTTCGGTGTCACTCTTTTATGTATGCTCATTTCAATTCATTTGCCGATTTTAGAGACTATCGAAAACAGTCGATGCGGTACTTTTGGAGCTTATGGATTCTTTTTCAGTATCTATCTCATTTGCATTTATGGTGTTATTATACCGAGTCTCGCAATTCTCTTCAGTGTTCTCATCCTGAAAAATCTGAAAGCGGTTCGTACTCGTGTTCAACCACTTCAAGGAACAAACAATGCGCCACAGCATATTTTATTGAAACGCGATATGAATATGTTGAGACTTGCGTTTGCTGAAGTAATGGTCGGTATTCTTCTCAACTTTTTATATCCAGCCAATTCCTTGTACACAATATTGACAAGTAATGTACCGAATAAGAGTCGAGATCGCACTCAGATCGAAGCATTCGTTAATTTTCTTGGACTTATTGTCTTGTTTTATCTAAATTATTGTATTACGTTCTATCTATACCTGGCTATATCCAAACCCTTTCGTCAAGAGATCAAACGGCTCGTCACCAAGTACATCAAACGATCAAAACGAGAACAGACAAATGTCATTACTGGTCTGATACCTCTACGACAACGAGAAACACACTTGAGGTTGGGTGAGAGTAAGTTTGGTAATAATCAATCAAATTCTCACCCACAAGCACATCCTCAAGAAACAGTAAATACAAAACATACTTGATCACATCATTATAAAATGGAAATGATCGTAATTTGACTTACTTTTGATTTTTTTTGTGATTCTTTTATTCGCTTATATATTATATTTAGATTCTTCTTGAGAGTGGTTGTGGGAGACGAATATAATATCTACACCCACACCCTCAAGATGATTAACATTTCTTTTTTAAATGTATTTAGTAGAATTAGTAACGCTACTGCAGTAGTCGTTCGGCTACTAAAAAACTCATACTCTTCTCACAAAATACAAAATCTGATATTTTGATAAAGTATGAGTATAATTCGGATCTATCTAGATGCGTGCTAGACCCAAAATAAAGCTCACTTAATATGGAATTAGTTTTGCGTGATTGTCACACAGCATGTATAATCTGATAACTCTACCAATTTGCCGTACACGCACATACAAGAACTCAACTGAATTAATGTGCAATTTCCGCGAATAAGATATATGGTACATTACAAAAACTTTTTTTACCTCCTTCCTCTAAATGCCTCAGTTTGAACTCAATTATTAATTACGTATACTAAGTATAAAAGAAATGATAGATTACAACAAAGCACTAGACTTAGAAGGCTAAAATTTTGCACATCGTCCTAAATATGTATGAACATTATATCTGTAGAATTATTTACATTCAAAAAACCATCTAAATATTTTCGCTTGTTTAGATAATACGCATATTTTTCTTTTTTAATTAAAATAATCCAGCCATAAATACCGGTGATACTTTTTTTATTAGCGGAAATATATGTCGTGTATAAATTAATTTGATAGTAGGCGACAAACGCAAAAAAGCTTTTATATTTACAATCAAATAGAATCATCTTTAAATTCGTCACGATCCAAGACTACACTTAATCTTTATAAACAATAAACTTTAAACGTTTTATTTAAATCTTATTTACAAACGGTAATCTATGTCGAGCGCAGATATATTAAACTTTATCTTGAAACAAGTTCATATCTATTATGGTTTGTTTATCGTAATCACTGGCGTGATTGGTGGAATATTCAATGTTATTATTTTTACATCACTTAAAACATTTAGAGAAACAACATGTGCATTTTATTTGACTATTTACTTCAATAGTTAATATTGATCTAAGAACAAAATCATGGTTTTGTAAATTTCATTATTTTCTTGGACATTGAGGTCTTTTGGTATCATCTGCTGGTACATGTTTAGAAACTGTTGATCAGTACTTATCAATGAGTAAATATCGACATCTAAGTAATTTACGAATAGCTCGTCGTTGCATTTGTATTAGTTCAATATTGTGCTGTGTTCATAGCATTTCTTTTCTCATTTACATGGATACACCTTCTAACTCTTGTGTGATTACTAATTTGAACTTTTCAATGTATATCTCTCGCTTTTATTATCCAGTTTTAATGGGATGTTTACCTCTTAGTATAATGATAACATTTTCACTGCTAGCTTTTTATAATGCTCATAAATTAGGTAATCGCCACATAAATATTGTGCGTTTGAGTCGAGATCGACAATTGACTGCAATAACATTGGTTCAAGTAGTATATATTGTAACTACAAAATTACCATACGTTATTTACTATATATACTCACTAAACCTAAACACAATGGATGCAGAACAAACTGCACAAAGTAATTTTATTGTTACAATTACACTTTTAATTTATTATTCATTATATGCTGTGAGTATTTTGTTTGAAAAGTTTTATACATATTTTCTTTTGTTCTTGTTAATGATAGAGCCCGTTCTATATCTCCTGCTGTGTTTCGGAACGATTTCGCAAGCAATTAGTTTATGTACTTGTCAATATTTGGCTTAATCGATGGCGACAATGGATAAATAGATTAAACAACAGTCAAATTGGACCGAATATAGAAATGCGAGACAATGAACATTTAAATAGAATAAGAAAAGATTTAGTTGAATTTGATTCAATTCGTTAAAGATGTTGTATCAAGTGAAATATATTTCTGCGAAATTCATTTTTCTATTATATTATAATAATCTACACTTAATACCCCTTGCTGATCTTTCGACGTAATTATTCCATTCTTATTTTTGAAAGCTAATCAAAAAAACTGCTTGTTACCTGTTTTTATGATGTACTTTTATAATTCAAATCTATATATAAACCAAGATGAAGGATGAATATATTATTCTTTAACTCATTTTCAAGATAGATCAAGAAATTGCTATGTCTACAATGGAATAATTCGTTACCATAAGATAACATGACCTAAGTGCCTGCTAATAACTGCTTTTAGAATATTTTAATGGAAATTATAAGTCTTATCATCAAAATTAAAAATAGAAACATATTAATTAGTCTATTACGTGGTTCTTTATTAGTAAATACAAGTTTTTGACACATTTTTTCTGGAAGGAAAATAAGAACAGAAGATTTACTTTCAAAGAAAACTTTTTTTTTGGATACAGATTCATTAGTAGATTTCTCACCGGATATTACCCACTCCGAATATATCTTAATAAAACATCATTGTTAATAAATTTCTTCTTGTTTTTATTCAAGATTTATATGAACAATGTAGATAATTTGAACGCTTGAGTATTTATTTTATAGCAGAAAATTTATCTACACAAAAGAATTGTTTTAACTTCCTTTCGAAATGTTTTTGATATGGCAAAATTTGCATAACAACTAAGACAAGATGGAATTGTTATACTAAAAAAACATAAATTTCTAATGATATTTTCAATTTGTGTTTGATCAAAACTTTTAACATTATTTTGTGTTATTTGTCCATATATGAGAAAGATTGGAAGTACAAAAGTAAACAATGTATAAATAATAATATCCACAATTAACATGAAAACAAATTATCGATCTTTCGAAGAAGTCGACTGTACATTAGCCTCCGGAGCAGTTCTTGTTGATTCATTATTGATAACTCTAATGCGGCGCATTTTTCGCATATTACTAAGTGCACATAATCCACATGTAATCATTATTACGAGTACTAGCATTTCGATAATAACTGTATAATAAGCTATGAAAATAGTTTGAACACCTGGTTGAAAATAACAAACATAAACATAGGGAGCAAATTGTAAAATAGATGCAAAAATCAATATATGACTATGAAATAATGCCCAAAATATTGTACCTATTATAATACATAGATAAGCAAGACGTGGAGTGCTTCGACGTCGTGTTATAGCATTACGTGAAGTAATAAACATTCGATCAATAGAAGCCAAAATTAAATAATATTGATTTAAACAATGAAGTAAAAGACTGGCGTAAAGGTGTAAACGACAGAAAATTAAGCTGTGTATAGCAGGATCAATGTTATATCCTAAACTAACTACTGTATATAATAAATTACAGTAAATATAGAGTAAATTTATAATATTAAATACAATGAAATAAATTGAACATGGATTTTTTCGTAAATTTTTCTTCGAAAATATAATTAAATTCAATATACAACCCACAGTACCTATGAAGATTAAAATTGGACCAGCAATTTGACATATATATGTTTGTGCTAATTGCATAGTAACGACTAAACTAGATGAATATGGTGAAGACATCTAGAGATGTTTGATTTTACTAAAGAATAAAGAAATGACAGCAGTATATTTATACTATTCTAATAAATGTGAACAGAAATGAAAAGAGTATATAGGTGTATTTTCTTGTTAAAGGAATTCATTAAGAGCTATTCTTTCTATAATATCTATTTTTATACACACCACTCTCGCGAAAGAAGAAAATAATTGATAACATCTACTGAGCATTACAATGACAACAAAATATTTGATTAGTGAAGAAGATAAAGTTACTAATAGAAAAAAACTATTTACTCACGAAGTATAATATAGAATAAAGAAAAAAGGAATAGAAGTAAAGAAAATTTGATTAGTGAGTAAGGTGAAGTTACTAATAGAAAAAACTATTTACTAAAGAAACTAGAGTTGAATCCTTGTATCAGTAATGAAGGTTTGGCTTTTGAAAAAATCAAGTTTCACATGTTATAAATAGATCGAAAAGAACTACGCATAAGAATCGTATTCTTACTATTGGCTATAAATAACATACTTATTTTTATTTATCAATAAATTTAATCAAATCTCTGCTAATGTTATCTACTAGTAAACTGTAACAAGTCATCTTTTTGTAAGATAGTGCAAATTTTGGGACATATTAAAATGCAGATACTTTAAAAACTATAAAAAAACAAATGAGAAGAGATGATTATGTTTTCTTCTAAAACTCTTGAGACTACTTACACAAGTATTCAACCGAATTTTATATTTTTATTCATAAATAAACATATATTAATAGAAAATTATACTAAAAAAACATTTATTGATACATACGAATAACTTTTTACTCTATAGAATATTATTAATCGATATTGATTAATTTATTTTATAATAATCATATTCCAACTTCCATATAGAACTATTTTCTAAAGTTTTTTCCAGGATGATAGTAAATCTACAAAATATATTGTCATGTTTTGCTAGTTATGATATTCTGCATGGACCAACAGGACTCTTCAAACATACTGAGAAAAAAAACAATAATGAGGTTTTTCATTATAAACTGGAAAATAATTAAAGCATTATCAAATGACAACTGTAGTAAAAAATCTTTCATTATAATAATTAGTGATACTACTAACATGTGATTATATATACGAATCGATCATTAGTTCATTAACAAAAGTATATCAAATAAGTTGAATCTATAACTTAATCAATATTTCTAAAAAGAATTCTTAAAAATCAAATAAATATAATCATTTTTCATATATGCTAGAGACAGCGATCTAGAGAAAGAAAGAAAACAAAAACGACAAGTCGAACACATTATAGTCTGTTTTGACTTTTCCACTGATTGTTTAGTATAACTGACTGTTAAAATATTTTATTTACTGATCATCTGATTAGTTTACTGATCGTTCAATCTTGAGGATGGGTATGGAGGCCGGTGAATGTAAATAAGTGTGTTATGAATCAAATACCAACACCACATCCCCATCCTACAGAAAAAAAGATATTCAGATTTCTCACAAATTGATCATCTCTCGATTGTCACAATACAACAAGAATCTATTTTAATCATAATTTTATTTATTTATTGTAAATATCCAACAATTTTCATTCAAAACATAGTTCATATTTTTGAATTCGATGATTGTTCTTGTCAGCAACATAAAGATTACCTTCAACATCAAATGATAAATCAGAAGGTGTATTCAATTGATTTGATTCCGTTCCTTTTCCATTTCCGCCCATTACAATTGAACCTTCTGTGTCGCCTTCATTCCAACGCATTACTCGATGATTTCCAGAGTCTGCGACAAAGATGTGATGCCAATGGTCAACAATCACTCCATTAGGCCAGTATAAATGGTCAAGACTCATTCCTGGACCATGTCCACCAGCAACAACAATGCCGTATTTAGCATCTTTTTTCCATTTTATTACACGATGATTGTTCATATCAGATACATAAACAGAATAATCTTCATCGACAAATATATGAGCAGGTTTGGTTAATTGATTAAGACTATATCCTTCTTTATTTCCACCTGCAACTACTGTTCCATCTGGTTCTTCTTCTGCCCAACGTCTCACTTCATTGTTTCCACTATCAGAAACATAAATAAACCCATAGTTATCCATTGCCAAACCATAACTATATATATCAGACATGATAATTTGTGGATTTGTTCTATTTTCACAAAACCATCGCGTTACTCCTTGATTTGCGCTATCAGCAACGATCAAAAAATTCTTTTCTTGGTCAACAATTACATCTGTTGGGCTCCACAATTGATCAGTTTCATTTATAACGATTTGCCCATTGCTCGAATTATGTTTCCATTCAATAATACGATTATTATAATAATCAGCAACAAAAATAGTGTTGTTATCATTAATAAAGATTCCTTCAGGTGCAGAGAGTTGGCTTACTTCATTTCCTTGACCATTTCCTCCAGCAACTGTAATTCCTTGTTGTTTCCATCTATTACATTTTGTTTTGTTTTGTTCTAATAGTGAAAAAAAATATTTTTGTCAGATTAAATATGAAAATATTGTTTGAATCAAAATGAAAGAGAAATAGTCTTCTCGCTTATTTTTTCTTTTGAAAAAAAGTATACCTTTCGTTGTTGGATTGTCTGTTATTGTCGTAACTTCTTTTGTTGTTGATATTGATGTTTCTCTAATGTTTATTTTTTTCGTTTTAATAATAGCTATTGGAATAGTTATAAGTAAAACAGCAATGATCATTAAAATAATGCTCCATAACAATTTTCTTCTTTGAAAAGATTCCCATCTAGAATAAATTTATATATTTAGTATTTGTTACAACAATTTACAATAAACATACAATATTCTTAGATGATTTCTTGATGTTTGTTCTGAGTTCGAATTAACTTGGTCAGACTAAAATCATCAATGAATATAAAAGATATTTTGTGTTATTTAATCAACTAAATTACATCACAAACGCCTATTTGGTTTTGATTCATAATTGATATTTTATGTAAGTTTAAGAATATTCCAAGGCTTTTTACAATCAAAATCTAGAAAAAGAAATAATTGAAAAAAGGACTTTTATAACTTTCTGCAACGCCTTTTTGTCTCATTCGATTCAAAGATGTTCATCGCAGCTAAAAACTTGCTATTGCTACGATAATTGTAATAAAAATGTTTTGATGTTCACAACTCCGACTAATTTTGACCCGGAAGAAAAAAATTAATGTTGTTTTCTATGTTCAATAATTTCTACTTTTTATTAAGAAGTTGTCTATTAATTTAGTTTTGACGTTGAATGATGATATTCAAAGAAAATTCATTTTTATGTAATAAATCTTTATTAAATAAGAATTTCTTCTGTCATCTGTCACTTTCTTTGAATATAATAAATCAAGAAATGAATGATATTATAAATATTAAATTATTCTTAACAGATAAATTCCAGTGAGTATATTTTTTTCAGGTAAAAATCTTGACTTTTCATCAGTGATAATCAATATTTTTCTAGATCTTAAGGTGTAGGTGGGTGAGTATCTCTTCTTTATCTCTCTAACCTACACTCACATATACACACACCACCCACACCCTCAAAATTTTGTCGTTCACTTACGCCGAGATATATGCAAAATAAGAAATATCGCAAAACTTTTGTGACATTCGATAATTGAGATTATTGATCTTACATTTCATACATTAATACTTATTGATTGTTTAGATTCTTTTAATAAAATATTACTTTCGTTTTCATTGTCCCATTTATCTTTTTATATTTTATAAAAAAATTAAAACTCAATTTTTTATTAAAATTCGGTTCATAAAGGTATACATATAATTACAATATCTCATATAAGAAAAATATTTTTCATGAAACATCGACATGCTTTTATCAATCAAAAAAAACCAAAAATACGTATTGATGGTTGTTTGTAGTCAGGAGAAAATAAAGATCATTTTTGTAAAACCATTAGTAACTATTGGTAAGGTCTTTTTGTATAGTTTATATTAGATAAATGTTCTTGTAGAGGTAAATCATGCATTCTAAAGAAAAACAGCAAAACTTTAAAAATCAGGAATTCCCTGATAAAATTAGAAGAGATGACAGTTTTGAGTTCAAAAGAGTATCTCATCTGTTATAATTTTATATATTCATTTATCATTTTTCTAACAGTTTGTCTATGTGAAGACAAGCGATACATCTCTCTAATTTCTCATGTGAATTAAAATCAGAATGACATCGCACAGAATATGAGCTGCATCTTCATCGTAAGAGAAAAAAAACAATTCATTCTTAAAAAGAACTCCGTTTGGTACACACGTCTTTGATTTTATTTTTTTATCAAACCATCAGAAGTAAAGTTATCGTTACTAATATTATTATTCCTTTCTGATTATATTCGATCAACATGGTATCATTAACAACAATAACATCTGATTTCACTATCTACAGTTTCTTCATCATATTAATTATTGGAACAATTGGAAATATATGTAATCTTATTGCATTTTTATCGAAAGATCTTCGAACAAAAGCTTGTATATTTTACATGGTTTGTTCTGCTTCACTTGATTTATTTTTCAGTAATTTTGGTATTATAATTCGTTTCTCAACAGAATATTTTGGAAATAATCTGACTAATACTAATCGTGGTATTTGTAAAGTACGTGGTTACCTTCTTGTATGTTTACCAGCGATGGCTTCAACAGGTGTTTTATTGGCAACATTCGACCGATGTGTATCAACATCATCAAATGCTCGCTGGAGACGATTGAGTTCTATTTGGTTTGCTCAACGTCTTTTCATCATATTCATGCTCTTTATTTTAATTTCAAGCAGTTTTCATCTGATCGTATATGATATTCGCAATGGTACATGTGCACCATCACCTGGCCTTGCAGCGATTATAGTCGCTCTTTATATCATTCTTAGTTTTCTGATTCCTAATACAGGCATGATAGTTTTTGGCATCATGACACGGAGGCACTTGCAACAATTGAAAAATCGCATCGTTCCGATTTCTCTCGCCAATAATAATCAACAGCTTGGTGTTGAGCGAACGAATCGACAACTACTCATTCTAATATTTACACAAGCTTCTGTGTCTACTGTATTATTATCTCAACGCTGTCTCACGTATTCATACCTTGTGATTACAAGTTCTGTACAAAAGAGTGTCGAGCAACAGCAAATCGAATATTTTATTCAACAAGTAAGCCTTATACTTATGTACGTAAACTATGGTATGACTTTCTTTATTAATTATTGTTCGAGTAGTATGTTTCGAAAAACATTTCGAGCATCTATACAATCACTAATGAATAGATGCTTTCGTTTTTGTAAATGTGGTCAAATGCAAAATTAGATGTTCATGTAAAACACCAAACACAAATCAAATATATGTGAATATATTTTTTGTTTGATCAAAGTGTATTTAGATGTTGTTACAGATGTCCGTACTCGCTTTCGTTGTCTTATTATGTATCATTTTCTCGATGTCGTATCCTTTTTTTTTTTTGAAACAATAAATTATTCAATCGACAGTTTCTTTCTATATCACTAATGTATTTGATCATCCTACTTGAAATCCTAAATACATCCGCATCTATAATATGCACACAATGCTCTGAATTTTACCCAATAGTAGAATCCATCTTGAGGATGTGAATATGAGCTAAATAAGGAAACGTCCACATTCTTAACTAGATATAAAATATTGCAAAAATAGATGAAGAGATGTTTTAGACATACATGTAGAAAATAATATAGAATCATAATTTATTTTGTACAATAGATCCTGTTGACATTATAAAATATCGATCGAATCGTTCAGCATTTTCTTCAAATATAATCTATAAATATTTATGAAAATGATATTTTATCAATAAAATAAATAATCTAAGTTTTTTTTCTGATTGTAGACTTGGAATTCATTTTTATGAAAGAGATCTATTAATAATTACTTCTTTCTGACGAATGTAGATTTAGAATAAATTGTTTTTATCGTAAACATTTTTTATCTTCTTTTCGATAATTTCAGTTGGAAATATATAATAAATGGCATCTGTAACTGGAAGAAACAGAAAACACAATGATTCTATCTGTTGAAAAAAAAAGACAAATTCACTATACTAATCTCGCCTTTTTTTTGTTGCTTTTTAGTAATTTGCATAATAAAAGTTATTTGAAGTATTTGTTAAGTGCTTGATATAATCAGTGATGTGTGGGTGTGAGTATGTTTTATTTAGTTATATTCGTATCCTCACACACATTAAAATTAAATTTTCTATAAATTAAGAAATAATATTCTAAAAGAAATCTTTTCTATTTATCTAGAACATTAATGACATTGTTTGAAAATATGAAATACTATTATTAGTTCTTTTGTATTTTGGTTACCTTCATATATATGTTATCAAAATATCAGTAAATGTTAATATTTAAAGAAGGATTTGTTTCAATTACTCATCGTTAACAACACATAACAACTTTGATAAACATAAGATTTTCTCTTTATATTTATACGAACGCAATTTCAAAACAAAAATATTATCGTTCGATAATAATGCATTGCCCTATTATAAAATGGTATTTATTGAGTACCATATTTCTGTTCGATATTTCATTAAACTTCATCAATTGTCAAACTTGTACACCGTTGAATACTTGGCCAATAATTAAACCAAATTGGTCAAATTGTTCTGTTCTCTCCGATGGCGTATGTTATTGTTTTTTTATTAATTCAATAATGAAATAAAATATTTTTTTTAGACATTTACAATTAATAATATTCATGCTGAATGTACGTTATTAAATGTTCCTATTAATTGGAATTCATCTAATTTAACAACATGTACAGAAACAATTCAAATATACGTTAAACGTTATTTTTTATTAGGATACGAAAATATATCTCATCATTTATGGCGAATACCAGGTATTATTTATCTCGAAGAAATTTATAATAAAAATAAAATTTTTCTTAAATAGGTGGCGGTGGTATTCCTGTATCATCATTAGAATTTGAAGCTGTAACTGTTGTTGGTGCATTAAGTGGTTCAGTTTCAGTCTATGTTACAGATAAACGTAGTGTTGGTGAGAGTAGTCGATTAGAATGTCCAACATCAATTGTTCAAAATTTTACGGGTTGTTTGTCATTTATTAAAGCAAATGAATATCGTTTAAAACAAAATACATATACAAATACAGCGCATGATTTAGAATACGTTCTTAATATTGTTATGGGTAAAAATCGTGAAAATTTAAAAACAAATCAACGTGTTATTCTAATGGGATCAAGTCAAGGAACTTATCTTTTACAACGATATCTTCACGTAACTCAAGAATCTGAACAAGTCGATGCTGTTATATTTGATTCTGTTTTACCACCTGATATAACACGATTAGTTTATGGTGATAAATATTTAAATTATATATTTTTAGATTTATTTACACGTTGTTCACAAGATCAACAAGGATGTGCAAAATATTTCGAAGATAATAATCCTTTACGTGCTCTTTATACATATAAAATGAATGAAGATTTTTTTGATAATTCATCTTGTCTTTATCTATTAAAAACAAATACAACTGAACTTGCAAATAAAGTATATATAAATATTATTTATTAATTATACATAAGAAATTTTTATTTAGATGTCATTTATATTATATCCGGAAGCGATGCAATTATTACCTGCATTGATCTATCGAATCAATCGATGTAATCAAGATGATCAGAATGTTTTAAAAAAATTTTTAAATGTAACTCAACCACCAGAACAAGAGGGAGCAATAGGATATTCAATTTTAGTTGAATTAAATAATAATCTTGCTGAATTATGGTCTCCGTTGAATTTAGAAGAAAAAAATCCAACATGTGAATATTTAAAAGGAATATCAAGCAATACATTTGCTTCTACAAATGTTATGCCGGATATTTATTGCGAAATTGAAAAAACAAAAATCTTAGAATATCCGACTGATCAATATTATAGAAAATACCCAACAAAAAAAACTAATATGCCAATGTTATTGTTACATGGTATGTTTGAAAATTTAATTTATAATAAATACATTGAATTATTTAAGGGGATATGGATCAAGCATTGCCGTTACCGATTCCTCGACATTTTTTTAAACAATATTCAATGATAAATCCAAATTTTATCAATATTGAAATGCCTCGAACAGGACATACTGCGTTAGGTGGATCACCAATGGTTGACGAAGAAGGTACTTGTGGTTGGAACATAGCTGTATCATTTATGTTATCACCGACCTTCGAACCTGATCGTTCATGTTTAAAAAAAATTAGTTCAATTGATTTTGCTGGTACAACAACAAAAACGAAACAAATAGCGATACAATATTTTGGTACTGATAATATTTGGGGTACAGAAAAACCAAATGGAACAGTAATAAATATAGCTATCAATATTCAGTTGTCTTTTTCTATATTACTATCAATTTTTATTATATATTTAACATCGTTTTAATCCGTCCTAAGAAATAAAGGACCCGAAAGCTTCGAATTTTTTGGAAAATAAAGAAGTTCACGAATGAACGTCTACTTTGTTATATTTAGAGTCTTTGAGTGTTTTTGAATGGAAGAGAAAGTGTGTGACTATGGATATCAGCTACAGTTGACACCCATACTCTATTCCATAAAGAATTTTAAAAAAATTGAATCACATACGTAACCAATCACACTACATCGCTTTCTAGACAAGGCCACTAATTATATATAACGTTTCCTTTCTTTGTTCGTTCCTCTTTCTATATCTTGACCTTGTTGTGATATAAGAAATGTATCGTTCAGTTAATTGGGAATAAAATAGAAGCAAGAAGCACGAAAGATAAATAAACCGTTACAAACATAGAAATTCGCATTGTTGCGCTAATCTCAACTGGGAAAAAATTCAGTTGCTCAATTGTAAATAAGCTATTCAATATAATTTCACGTAATATACATAACTTTTGATATCACTCGTATAAATTTCTTTTTGTTTTAGTATTGAAAATGAATCAAAATGGATGTACTAATTTTGAAGATCTTTCAAATGAAATAATCTATGAAATTTTTGATTTTCTTGATACTTATCAAGCTTATGAAATTTTTAGCAATTTAAATATACGATTTCGAAATATTCTTACTTTATCAGATCTTTCGATTAATGTCAATATTTTTAATATATCAAAATTATCATTTGAACAACATTATGAACAATTTTTTAAATGTAATACTCATCGAATTCATTCACTTTATATTTCAAATCCAATTGTTATCGATTTAATATTTTCATCTATTAAAAATGATTTATTACTAACTCGACTTCGAATACTTTGTTTGAAAAATATTGATTTAAATGATTGTAAAGATTTTTTCGATTATTTGATTCTATTACCACAACTTTCAACATTAATTATTTATTCATTTAAAAAAGATTGTGATAGAATTATAATCTATCATAAACTATTTCGTTTACCAGCATTAAAATACTGTAAATTATCGCTTAATGATAGCAGTAATTTTCCACAGGAAGTATTTTCTACTACTTATGATACCTTTAGTTCTATTGAACATCTTATTATTGATTGTAATGTATATTTTAATGAACTATTACATATATTACCATATGTTCCTCATCTTCGTCGTTTATCAATCAAAAGTCTGACTTCGTCTTATGGTCAGGTACCACATAAATTTTCATTTACTTTAAATAATCTGACACATGTTTCTATTGAATTACACCTTATAAACTTCGATGAATTTCAACCCTTTACGATGAATCTTTTTAAAAATCTTCAAGTTTTATATATTTCAACTAGTATGGATAATGAATATATCAATGCTCAAAGATGGGAAGATTTGATCGCAACTCATATGCCTCATTTACGAATTTTTGATATTCAGCATAAAACATATTTATTTAACAATATAATTAATGGTGAAACATGTCAAGATTTAATGAATCGATTCGCTACATTATTTTGGACTAAACGAAAATGGTTTTTTACACATCAACTTTATTATTTAGACCGTCCAAATTATGGAGTATTCTATTCTATACAACCATACAGGTATGAAACACGATCTTGTGGGTGCGGATGTCTCGCTTTCATCTACACACACCCTAACTAACAGCTTTGTTTTTTTATTTCAAAGGAGGAAAAACTACATATTGAATTGTATTGAAAATCAGTGTAACTATTCATGCAACAAGAAAAATACTTTTTATTCAGTTCGTCATATTTATATTGAACACAGATTAGCAATCGATAATTATTCGATTAATTTTCCAAATGCTAATGAAATTACTTTTGGCAAAAATGTTTATATATCTCAGGATTTAATTATGAATATTTCCAATAGCATAATTCCTCTATCACAAATAACAAAAATAACAATTAATAGTGATTTTATTTGTTTTTCCAATATAATCGAAATGTTATGTTTAATACCGAATTGTAAAAAATTAATGCTTACATCTTTATCATTGGAGAACACAGATTTTTCGTCGTTAGAATGCACGAAAAATTTTCAATATTTATCTCATAAAAATACTATTACAAATATTTATATTAAATCATGCGATTTCAAAGGAGTTCAACTATTAGTAAATCTTTTTCCTCGATTGCAACATCTGCATATAAATGAACTTCAGCAAGAATTTCAATCGATTATAAAATATTTATTAAACACCAATGAAAATACTCGTTATTTACATTCATTATTTATTCGAAGTATAAGTAAAATATGGATTAAAAAACGAAAGAATATAATTACAGAAATTAAACAACAGAATGACGTTTCTATAAAACTTCCTGGTGATTTTGGTTGCTATTTGTGGTGGAAATAAATATTGTTACTCACCTTCAAAAATAAAAACCCATTTATTTTTCTCTTTATTTGTCGCCCTCGCGAATGCTTATTTGTTCTTTTTTTCTGTGCATTATATTGTAAACTATTGTGCAATTATAAACATTGTATTCTTTCATTTTTTAAATAAACGATATTTCGTCATTGATTAAGAATATCTATATGGAACAAATAAAACGTCAACGAAGTAACAATGTAAATAATTATCATAATAATAAAAAACAGAAGATACAAGGTAAAATATATATAGAATTTTTTTTTGTAATTTGTATTTTTTTTTCCAGTTGAAACGAATTGGTGAGTCAACAAAAAATATTCGTTAAAATGAATATTCTTCGTTTTGTTTTAGTTTATTAAAAGAATTTGTCACATGTTTTGAAGATCTTTCTGATGAATTAATCTATGAAATATTTGAATTATTAAAGTTTGATCATGTTTATAAAGCTTTTTATTCACTTAATACACGATTTTATAATTTTATAATTAATTCAACTGTTCCAATTGAAATTAATTTTTCTTCTATATCAATATTGTAACATCTTATGTGACGCCGTTTATTTCTCTTCTCACTAGTTATACATGTAGCTATATCCTTCATTTCTCATCACTCTTTCTTCCTTCTTCTTGCAGACAACTATATCACATCTTTTTATATTTATGTTCTGTTTATCATAAGTCATTCTGTCCTTCTCTCTCTCGCTCTAATTGATTGTATTGGAAAAGATATAAAAGGGAAAAGATATATTGAATAAAGGGATAGTTGTAGAAGCTTAGATTACGAAGTTGTTACAAATATCAACACTTTAACGGTACAAGAATAAACATCGAATTCTTTCACTTCATTTATCAAATTCATGTTTAAATGATGATATTTCTTCACCAATTCATATTCTATCTCAGTTTCTTCGTCTCGAAACATTTAGTCTTAATAATATAGAATCAAATCATCTTGAATATCTCGTTCCTACATTAGTTTCTTTACCATGCCTATCTTCATTATCTATCACATCAATAGACATTATTCTAGATAGGATTGCTATCTATGATCAAATAATTCGTCTGCACGCAGATCTTCACGATAAAGAGTTCGATTCATGTGTGCGATTTCTATTAGAGAAAACAAATCGAAATACTAATCCTTTATGCTCATTATGTGGTTTATCGGCAAACACAATTTGGCTTACAAGATTAAAAGCATTACTCGAATCTGAGACGTTACTGGATGATTATATGTTTAAAATGATCGATATACATCTATGTTTATGGTGGTAACGTTGATATGTATTAATAAAACTTTAAAATGAACTATGTCTGTGATTTGTTCTGGAGTTTTTCGTTCACTTTACGAATGTTCTGTTCAGTTCGAATAATATCGCGATGGGTTGGTGGCAATATTTTTCGGCAGATAGCTAGAGATTTTTGAAAGAAATCTAATGCTTTAACATAATCACCTATTTTTTCATGATACAACCATCCAATATTGTTATACGATGTAGCAATATCAGGATGATTATGTGGTAATGTAGCCAATCGAATATTCAAACATTTGTTATAATAGTCTAAGGCTAAATCTACTTCATTCATTGCGCTATATGTAATTGCAAAACGATTATATGTTGCTAATATATCTGGATGTTCGGATGGCAAAGTCGCTTGTTGAATTTTTAAAGCTGTATTTAAATTTGTTAATGCTTCAGAATATAATTTTTTTCTCCAGTAGACGAGACCAATAGAACTATGTAGTCGACCTTTTTCTTCACAAATGTCGAGACCAAGTTCATTTAATAATGATAAACTTTTATGTAAATTTGATAGAGATTCATCATATTGATTTAGCCAATGATCTGCCCATCCAAGACCACTATATCCGATACTTTCATCAAGTTGAGATTCATAAATCATTCGTTTATAACATTTTTGTGCTTGTTTATATTCTCCCATTTCAGTTAAAATTTTTCCAAGCGAATGTAAATTTGTTTCATCACCAATCTTATCTTTCATATGAGCAAATGTTTCTTTTAAATAAAAATCATCTTCACTAGCTAATGTAATATGTGCAATCCAAAGTTTTTTCTCTTTATCTTCATGAATCGATTCAATACGAAACAATGCTCCAAGCATAATAAGAACTTCATTTTCACTTGCAATATAACTCAAACGATCGATATTACAAAATGGTACTGTTTTTTGACGTGGATCGATATCGATTTCGAATAGAATTCGATCAATTTCATTATTTGGTTTAATCGACTGCAGGAAACTAAGAGCAGTTTTGTATTCAAGACTAGTAGAAAGAAATGAATTCATTGAAATAAATTCTCCAATACTGGATTGAATTAATTTCAATTCATTTAAATCAATTGCTTGACCACGATAGACTCGAATAATATCACGTGTAGGCATTTTACGTAAATAATGTTCGTATTCCTTTCTCAATTGATTTGAGAGATCAGTAATGAAAAAACGAAGTGCAAATAATAAATCGAAATTTTGATTGCGCAATGCTTTGTTTAAAATACGATAGAGACAACATTCACGTGTATACCACCAGATAGCATTTTTTGTTTTATATGTCTTCTCAAATTCGTTAATAATCGAAAGTTCTTCGGAATTATTTTGATATTGTTCTTTACAAACATCAATCAATTCCTGTCGAGCATTGATTTTATGATGCATACGAAAAAGTACTTCAATAAATAATTGAAACCACATGAACATAGCATTTCGACTTTCTAATGATTCAGTATTGCAATTGACAATTGAAATCATTCCGGAATCTTCGATTAGAACTCGAACTCTTTGATCTTCAGTAATTCGAGCGATCAATTCCGATTGTTGAGTAAAAATGTCTTTGACCTATGAGAAAGAATTTAGATTCTATGTCTATTGCAACATTATAAACACATACTTTGGCAAAGTCGGTAATCCATTGTTTGTCGACTGGTTGATCTTGACAAAATATGTAGCATGCCTTGAATTGTGAAAGATCATGTATACGAGGAACTAGTTGATGAGCCATTGAGTTAGAAGAAATAAGAATAATTTTTTCTTCTATAATTTTCCGAATCTCCTGTTCACATTCATCAGGATTTTCGAATGTTTGTAAAGAATTGACGACTTTTCTCAATTCCTTTTGTATTTCTTGATTATCTTTCGTTTTGTTTACATCTTCATCAAGCCAGAAATAAGCAAACATGTTACTGTTGGATGTCGCTTTTTGAGGAACTGAAGGTTGTTTTTCTTTCCGTACATTTGCTGATGAAACTCTTGTTGTTACTTCATTTGGTTCCTTGTTTGGTATACGCGAAGAACCGGGTCGACTGCTCGTCATCGTGATGAAAAATGAGCTCTCACTGTAAGAAATATTCTCGTAGTTTCTCTTCTCTGCAACTAAAATGTGAGTGATGTTGAAGGACGTTTTTTTCTATTGTGATAGAATTGATGTGAGAAGAGAACAAATGTATTACAGGTTGGCAAGATGATGAAAAAAAGAAAATAATAATGATCACGTGGTAGAAACCAATGTTTATATATTATTTTGATGGCATTTGTAATAATTTTATTTGCTCTATTGCGAATCTCAGTGAATAGGAATAAAGTTAATTCAAACGATTTACAGGAGCTACTCATTATTTTTCCCATTAAGTTGTTTCGGACACCGAAGTCTTATCATTTTCATATTTCGACTTTTTTTTCTTCGATATTTTTATCCTTCGATATTTTTATACTTCGATATTTTTATACTTCGACATTTTATTTTCGACATTTTTCGTTCGATCTTTTTATACTTCGATATTTTAACTTTCGACCTTAGTCGGAAGAATCATAAAAATAATTCCATTTTTTTTCTTAACTTTTTGTTGTTTGCTTTACTGTATTATCTTCCTCATTCTGTATTTTATTTCACAAGATTACAATATAATATTGCTGGAAGTTTTTTCTATATATTTAAGACAAAAATAAAATATGAAAACTTAATCGATTGCCACTTCTATATGACGTGTGGTGGATTTTATTTTTATCTTACACCCACACCCTTAACTTAAAAAGTGAGCTCTACTACAAATATGACTGTAAAACTTTCTCTGATCAACTGAGACGTTGGGTAACAAGTGATATACAAAAAAAGATCGTTGAGAAGAAGCACAAATCCATCTTGTTTCATGAGGATGTTCAATCTGATTGTGCATTGAGCAATGGCATGTTGCTCGGTTGTGAGAGATGACCGTGTAGCTTACAATTTGGACAATAATACTCATTTCTCGTTGCTTCCTTGACGAAACCTATGCCATCAATGTATTTCTCGTAGAGTCCATCCTTCTCGTAGGGTCGTATATCTAAAAAAACAGCCAACAATGAATGTTCACTAAATGAATCTTCTCGTCGTAAACACAAACCTGAGCAATTGCAGCACTGTTTTATCGCCCACATATTACAGTCGTGTCCACACATCTTCCTTTTCATTTCCGGTCGATAATCGAGTCCATCTAATAATGTCACTCCATCATCATGAATCATGTCGATCCTGTACGGCAAGGGACCCTCTCGTAGAATCTCTCTAAGATGAACAATATTCAAAGCACGATTCACTCGTTGTTTGTCGGTAACCAGAAATTCTGTAGCAGGCAGCAAAAGAACTTCTTCATTATCTCTCGATAAGTATGAATAATTTTCAATCAATTTGCCACTTTGACATTCAATGTAAAAAAGTGTTCTTTGTCCAGTTTTTCCAAGAAATTCTTCTTTACTGAACACTTCCACTGACCGTGTACAGGAACTAAAACCCCACCAAGTGAATTCTTTGTCTTTCACATAATGACTTGAAGCATTACCATTGACACCACGATAGACAAGACCACGATACCGTGGTAGTTTTTTCAAGGCTCTAACCAACAGTGTGAAATAGGGTAAGATAGGGTTTAATCGACTCCGATCTGCGAGACGAAGTGTCGAGTTTAAAATGTAGAACAGACTTTCTTGTTCGGTCTTTGATTCCATTGTATAGAGTTGAATTGCAGCACTTTCATCGATGGTCAGATCATAAATATCTTCTTTTTTCGAACATTCTTTTTTAGCCAAAGAAACTTGCTTGTGAATGTGAGGATCGATGTTTGACGGGATGTGTTCTTGCATGTAAATGATTGCCTCTTCCAGTGAAAATTGTCGCCACGGGTGTGAGCCTTGAATTATAGGTAATGTCTCACCCGTTTCATGGACCACATCGTAGAAACGAGAGCGACACGACGAAGTTGATGCAGATATTTTTTCCATGATAGAAAATATTTTTCAAATGTTCCACCAACACAAGAAGCGGATCAATCGTTAAGTGATGAAATATCTTTCAAAAAATGTACAACAAAATATCGTGACAGTGTTATTTCGCAATTTAGTTTACTCATGTGTTGTGCAAGAATCAGAGGAAGAAAGAAATACATTTGATGACTCATAATGGCTTTTTGTATTTGAGAGGAAAAAAAAGAAAAGCAAAATGTTATACCCGTGTGAATCGAGTATCGAAGAGTCGACCTGTGATCACATTAGCAGATCTGATCATCTTTCAAATCAGTCTCGTCAAGAGTGTGAATGGGTGAGAATGTGAATGAGTGTGTGTGTGACTGGAGAAGATACACTCGTACACCCACAGCCTCAAATTAGGTAGTTGCGTTGTTTGTCCTATAGAATTCATTTATAGTATGATAGAGCCAAATGAAAAAAGAGAATCTGACAAGCCTTTTACAGATGAAAGAGATATAATGAAAAACAAGATAATAATAGATAGTATTGTTTTTTGTGTGATGAATGAAAAAATAAAGTATGCACAAGAATGAGTAATTTTTCTTTACTTCCCATATTATTCTATTCGTTGAAAGAGCCTAAAGCTGTTTCTCTTAACACTTGTCTGTGTCCTTGAAATCAAAAATAGATTCATTTTATTTTGAATTCTTTATTCATTTAAATGCATTGAAATGTTTCTTTTGTAAAACGTTTTTTTATAGAAAAAAAACTCTTCTATGCCTATATAACTTTCAATCTCATGAAATACTCTTTTATTTTGTTCTTTCATCCGTTTAAAATTATACCATTTCTTCTATCGAGCTCCCATGTAAATATTTTTTGTATAAAAACGCGTATCAGCTGCGTTCAAATCGCGTCTGAATTTGAAACGATGCTAGACGCAGTTCGAACATAAACTGTGATAATAAATAAAACTGCGTCTGGACACGTTTAGCTAAATTTTAAAATTGAAAAAGAACATCACAATCCGTCTCAGGTTTGATCTGAGTCGCCATCAATATCCCCTAACGATGGTCTTTACCCTATTATAGGCCAACGGATTGTTATTGTATTGATTTATCTAGGATGATATAAATGATATAAGCGAGAATAGAACAAGCGATTAACAAGCAACCATACATACCGTTCAGTCACATGTGACTACAATCGTTGTCATATGAATGATGAACTGTATGTGAATCTCAAATTCATATATATATGGATGCATGTATTATTTCAATAGTCTTGACATAAATATTTATTTTAAGTATTAATATTTCTATTTTCGTACACAAAATTAGCGTAAATAAAAAACAACCTAATATACAATTTTTTCTCAAATTTTTGAAATTTTGTTTTGTTCAAACCATTTTCGTTGTATCCTTTTTCTATAAAGCAATTTTTTATACAACTTTAAATGGCGCCAATATATCAAAATTTATTATTTGAATATCATATTTTATGAAATAATATACTTCTTTTTTTTCTATTTTCTTTTGGTCATATAATGTAAATATCAGGAACAATTTTTCTGTATGCTTAAAATTGAAATCTATCACTTAAATTAGATATTTAGAGATTATTTCGACAAAGTTTAATCAATATCGAAGAATAATATATGAAGAGATTGATATTTATTTATTTATTGTTTATATATTCGCTATTTTAAAACAACTAATTAAAATTTTACGTTTTTTGTCAGATACAGAATAATAAATATTCGAAATTATTTTTGTTTTATTCCACCAAAATCTGTTTTGATAGATATATCTGTACGCTTATAAAGAAGGGTATTTTGTGAAACTTTAGATGCTATCGAACATAGTTAATAGTCTTCTATAAATGTTTTTGTCTTAAGGCTAACAGAAATATGTGTATTTTTTTGATACTTTTAATTCTTTGTTGGTCTATATTTGAACAAAGATATTCATATTTGCATGATGCTTTTGATCAAAAATATAATTAATATAATAAAGAAGAAGTATGTAGGTTGCTTCAGAACAACTATGAATCTAGTCTATTTATGTTAATTGCTAATAAAATAACTTTTACATTCGATACATTCACATACATAAAGCTTTTAGACAAGCTAGTTCGTATCTTCATAGGAGTTTTTGTCTTACGTGCATGTAATACTAAATATTTAAACTAATAATTTCTTTTAGTTCTTACTATATTCAACTATATAAAAAATCAGATTGTATGCCTTTTTATAATTTTATGATATCTACGCTTGTTAAAACTGTAGAATAAACTTTTCTTGTTATTCACATTGCTGTAGGGATATAATTTAATGCAAAATCGCGTTCAGATATGTTTGAAAAATGTATACAATTGTGTCTAGGTGCGCTTCTATACAAGATCGCGTTCAGATGCGTTTGAATATTTTGTATAACTGCGTATATACGCGGTCAAGTATGCGATTGCGTGTTAACGTATTTCAATAAGAAACGCGATTATACGCGTCTATTCTGCGTTTCATGTTTACATGGGTATTAATAAAAAAAATATTATAATGAATTTAACGAACCATGAATAATAAAATATAATCTTTTAGCACTAATGATTCTATTATAAGTGACTAAAATAAATAAATATTTAATATAAAAGATGCATTATATACGGTTCTGAATAATAATATTGACGTCAGCAGAATTGCCTTATCAAATATTCAATTGAATATTAATGAGAAGAGAATAACTCTCTTATGAAATCTTTCTTAAAATATTTTATTTTTATTTCTATTGTTAAAAAAAATATGAATTTTAGATGAATCATCATATCTAACATAGTATTATATTTTTTTATGTAAATAACATGGAAAATTTCTTCTAAAATATTAGTCTATATTTTGTAATTCTTAGAATGCATCAATATATATATATATATATATTAATCATTTTTAGTTCAAGATGTTCGGTAGAAGATCGAACTTAAATAAATATCATGATATTTAACAAAATAATTAATATAAAGAAATAGAGTATGGACTGATGTGCTTAGTTCGAAAAATCACTTCAAATAAAATCAAAGAAACAGCAACAAGATTTTTCTTTCATCTTCTGTATACGAGTATATGTTGTCAATACATATTTATATATTTAGCAGTTAGAATAATTATTCGACCATAATCTTTATAATGAACATACTTTCAACATTTATATTTACCATTTTTTAATTAATTTTAATGAAAAATGTCTCGTTCTATTTGTGGAGTTACCGACAAAAAGACAGATAAAATGCATTAACCTATTATTGCGACGAAGTGGAAAATGAGATAAAATATTTCTTTACTTCATATTCATTCTCACAATTTCTTGTCCGCTCAAACATCAATAAAAGAAAAGCAGTTTTATTCGTAAGAGTAATGATATCTAACACAGTCTGGTTTTGGTCATTGCTTATCGTGCTTATTCCATCATTTATCTGTTTATTATTTGTTCTTTATAATCTTCTTTTTGATCGAACTCTTCGTCATGCTCTCAATAATCATATTATTATTGTTATTCTTATCATTGATCTTATCACTCTAATGACAACATATCCATGGATGATATATTTTTATTACCAGAACGGTGTTATATGGGAAAGATCAATGATTTTTTGTGAATTCTGGGCATTTATTGATTGGGGATTATTTATCACACATATGATACTCTTTGCTTGGGCAACTATCGAAAGACATATTCTTATTTTTCATGATAAGTGGGTATCAACTAGAAAGAAACGATTCTTTGTTCATTATCTCCCAATCATCGCCCTTCTTCTCTACTGTCTTCTCTACTACATCATTGCAATTTTCTTTCCACCTTGTCAAAATATCTATCTTAATTTCCACAGGGTCTGTATAAATCCATGTATGTATGATATATATATATTTGTTATGTATGATTCAGTAGTTCACCAAATAGTCCCCACTTGTATAGCCGTTATATTTAGTCTTGCTTTATTTTTACGTGTTTTATGGCAAAAACATCGTGCACATCAACCAATTCAATGGCGAAAATATCGAAAGATGACAATTCAATTGCTATCTATTTCATTACTGTATTTTATATTTTTGTTTCCATACACAATAGCCACTATTCTCTCTCTATGTGATGTAGTGTCTGAAGCAATCTATGACTTTTATCTATATGCAGCATTTTTCTCTTATTTTATGTTACCGCTTTTTCCTTTTGTTTGTGCTTTATCATTACCTGAACTTCGAAGCAAACTAATCAACATTCTACATTTACGACGACCAGCAAGACGTATTGGTGTTGAAACGTTGGCTATGCGAACTGCTATGAATAGACAAATGCGCGATCGGTAGACATTTATTATACAACTTTGTTCTTGTGTTGTAAAAAAAATAAAAATAAAAAAAACTCATTATAAACATTAATTATACTTGTGAGATTTAATTCGATCAATTCAGAGAAAAACTTGTTTATTTTATTGAAAAACATAATTTAATCATGACAGATTGAAGCTAATATTAAAAGTTATGGAATAAAAGTAATTAAATAAGTTGGATAAACCACACGATTTTCATAGACAATATAAACTTTACTACCTCCTGTGTCACCTGACACACTATTATATCGTAAAGTTGAAGCTTTCTCATTTTTCTTTGGAGGTCGACGTAAAGATGTATCACTTTTGCAATCATATACATCTCCTGTTAGAACTTGAGCAAGAAACACTTGCTTTTTCCCATTTGGTAAAGTATAAGCATAGCTTCCACAAGAATATGATGCGTTTTTTGCAAAATAGATACCAATTCCCCACAATCCATCGGAGCTAAACGTCATATCAAGACCATACTCGCCATTGTAAACTGTACTAGTTGGTGTATTTCTTGTTCCATGAAATAGTTCCAATTCAATTTGTGAATTAGACATAACACGTAATTCTTTTTTAAGTACTCGACGACGAAATGCGTAATGATTCCATAAACGTACATTTTGTATTCGTTCGATTTTATCAATTTTTATATTAGGCAGAGTTTCTTTCATACGATTTTCAATACTAGCAAAATCAGGATCATTTTTAGAAATAGGCACTAAATTGCATCCTTCTTTTTGGTCACCCCATGCTTTCGGTATGCGCAATTCATCATCATTTTCTACTTGTGTTTTCAAAATATCTTCAGCATATAAATCAATTTGTGATTTTGCATCTAATACACTTGTTTTGAAACCTTTTAATGTCATTGATAGTTGTCCTGAGGATTCTTGTTGAAAATCAATTTTAATATGCTGTTGAGCTACAATTTGACTGAGTACCATCCTATGATCATCCAGATTTTGGTCTAAATTTATAGAGAAAGATTCTGAAATCGTCGCTGAATCGATGGCTGATCTAATCGCTTTCTGTGCTTGTTCAAGTGTTGCCTTGGTGATACCAGTAATATCCCAACTCTCTCTGGCAATAGTTATTTGTGGATCATATGAATCCAATGGTTTTGGACGATAAGAAACAGGTTTTGTTTTGTTTTGTCGTTGCTGTTGCACTACTACTAATGGATAGCGAATAAGATCTCTTCTAAAGCGAGTATCCTTTCTCATTTGAAATCCGCATACGAGTCGAGAATTGAGTGTATTAGGATTGTTTGCTATTAATGTCTTTACATCAGGAAAAAAATGGATGTTATAATCAATAATAGTACCACTCGCTAAATTATCAACAGAAATTGTCAATTCTGATGAACTAGAATTTTTTAAATATTCTTGAAATGTATTTTCGATTTGACATATATCATCATCATTATATATTTGTTCATAATTGTCATCTTGCCAACACCATTCAGCCGTTAACGGAGGTAATTCACAGTCTACAATAGCATCATCATTGTCTAAAACTGCATTATTATGATCAATCGAAACTTCACGTGCAATTGAATTACATGCTGTATCATCCATATCTAGTAAAATAACTTTTTTCATCTTTGATTGTGGATAATCAGCAAAGAATTGTTTTATTGCACGCACCACAATATTCGTACAATCAGCCAATGGAAAACCATAGGTTTTATCACTGATTGCTGGTAAAGCAACACTTGTACAACCTTCATTTTCAGCAAGTTTCAAACATTCTAAGATACAAGAAAATAATAATGAACGTTCTTGTTGATTTCCATCCATGTACTGAGGACCAATCGCATGAATAATACATTTAAAAGGAAGACGACCAGCTGTTGTCTTCACTGCTTTACCTGCAGGAATAGGTAAGCCATTATTTTCAGTAATTATTTGTTTACATTCTTCATCTAATGCTGAACCAGCAGCATTAGCAATCGCTTTATCTACACCACCTGCATGACGCAATGATCCATTTGCTGCATTTAAAATAGCATCAACGTTTCGTGCCTTTGTAATATCACCTTTCTCTACGGCAATAGTTTGACCACGATTATTTACCATGATTGTGATAGTCGGGTTCGTATCATCATCACTCTTGTTGGATGAAGAATGAGTCTTATCAGCGTTAACATCTCGAATAATAGTATTTGTTTCACGTTCAATACGTTTTATTGGTTCATAGGCATTAGTTCGCATAAAATCTGATTCGATCGATGATAATTGTATACGATATGTAGTGATCTTTCTTTGAATATTATTAATAATAAGATTGATCTTTTGTTTGAATTCAATGATGATTTCAGAAGGACCATGTAGTGTTAACCCATGAGGATTTTTCAATTCGAGAAAAATTTTTTGACATTTTGCTTCGTCGAGTAAAGAACCGATGTTTTGATTGAAAAATCGACGAATATTTAATGGAATACGAATGAATTCCGAAATACGTTCCACTTGAATTTTCTTTTCTTCTCTCAAACTTAACAGTGCTTCTTTAATTTCTTCTGCAATCATTTTTGACTGTGCAGGAATAGTAACTGTGCTCGTATCTCGATCCAATCGTATTTCAGCATCCCATTGTCGACAAAATTCATCGAGTGACGGTATTTTTTTTACGAGTAATGCGTTAACCATTGCTCGGTAATCTTCTCCAGATGGTTTCCAAATCGTATATCCTTCAACAATATCCTGGCATTGTTCAACGACATCATCAACTGCTAATTCATTGAAACCAACTATTGATATAGTAATTTTTGATGTTGTTTCTCTTCTTTCGACTGTTGCATAGGTTTTGATCCACCCTATTGCTTCACAATCAGGTGAATCTTGAAATTTTTGTAGACGCATACAAATAATAGAACAAATGTTCCTTGAAACATCCCAAGTCTGACAAGGAAAATGTTTTTGTTTTTCAAATAAATTTTCAAGAAAATCTTCAACATGTGTTTGAGCAAGACTAATGCGTGAGGTAGAACCAGTTAGTTTTAAATAACCATGATCACTATCATCTTGTTGATCATCTTTATGTTTACGAGAAGACGATGAAAATGGAATTGTTATCTTTATACAATGAGTTTTTTCTAGTTTTTTAATATCCGATGAAGCTTTTGTTCGAAGGAAAATTGCCATTACTTTTGATATAGGAAGTTGTATTTCAGCCTTAACATTATCATCTAGCCAGTTTTTTATTTTCGGCACAGCATTTTTGACGTGATTTTGAAATCCTGTTACGTTGACATGCCATACACCATTTGTATAATTTATAAAAATTCGTACGATAGAATTTGTATCAGACTGAGTAAGACTAGTGAGATAGTTTTTAATTCGAAAACATTGTTCACGAATTGGATTATACTTTTGAGGAGAAGGTTTCTCATTTCGTGATTGACTTAAAATCCAAGTAATTTCATCTTGTGACAATGCCCATGCTTGTCTGTTTAAAGAATAATTTTTTAATTCTTTTGTAGCTTTGGATAATAACTCTTTTGAATCACTACATAATGTCACTTGTTTAAATTTGCGAGCGCAAATACCATTGGGCCTAAAATTGTCAGGTTTAGTTGTTGTACTTGATGAGGCATTCGAACTTTCACTTGCGGCATCATCATCATCATCATCATCATCGTTGTCTTCGGAGTGATTTTCGTCGCGATCATTATCGTTTTGATTATAAACACGAATCGTATCTACAGAAGTGTTTGTTGATGTTTGACGAAAAGAAATTCCCACAGAATATTTCTGTGAAAAACGCTTCAATAAAGGTCGTTGGCATTTTGTCTGTAAATATTTCTTCATATTACAGGGGATCGTCACATATTGCTCATGAAGTGTTTCTTTTAGATAATATTCCGTATTTGAAATTACTAAACTATCACCTATCAAGTGAAGTTTACCATCTTTGATTTTCACATCCTTAATACCTGGTTTGTTGCGAATAGTACTGAGAATTTTGTCGCCAAAAAATTCAAGAAAATTACACTGAGCACCATTCAATTCAATTATCTCTTGTATTGGTTCCTTTGCAGATTGAGGTAAAACTTTTCGCTTAACGGACGGTGTTGAAGACGTGATATCTATTTGTTTTGATGCTTCAGCATGTTGAGATGTATGTATGTGTATACCCAGTTTGTCTCCGCATTGGTGTCTATTTCAACAAAAAGAAATTGTACGTCTGGAATGACCTGTGGGAGGGTGTGTGAGTGGGTGGGAGTTAGGGTGTGGGGTGGGCGTGAGCCTGGATATAGCGTTAATCATAAACCCATACACCCTTAGTTAGCTGTAAATATTAACGTGAAAAATGAGTATACACTTACTCAGCAATGTCTTTTGTTTTTTGATTTGTTGCAAGTTTTGGTTTTACTGGTATTTCTAGTCGATTTGATGTATCTTTCGATAATCTATTATTGAGTGTTTTCGTTTCCGATTGTGAGTTATCAGTTGTTGCTGTTGTAGAACGTTTAGTAGTTTTTTTCCTAACACACGTTGTAGAATAAAAGATTATATAAACAAAACCTTTAAAAACTCTCACGATATAGGTAGTAGACTATTATCTAGTGATTCATTATTATCAGCCTCTTTAACTGATTTTTCCTGAACCTTCTTTCGATCCATAGCTTCTTTATAACTGTTTCTATCAAGCCAATTTTTGAATGCTTCATCTCGAATTTCCATTGTTGTTGCATCGTTAATACCTCTTATTTTTTGTGGAGATGGATTAATTTTTGGCTTTTCATGCCATTGATAATATCTTTCTACAGCTTTTGAGAAAAGTTTTTGTAAGATACTATTTGAGTTACACGTTGGTTTACCAGTTTTTCTCATAAATTCTGGCCAACTTTCATAATATTTCGCTTGAAATGGTCGGATTTCTGCTATAGCAACAAATTTTCCAGTTTTAGGTGAATCAACCGCAAGAGCAAATAATTCAGCTAATTTTTTACAAGGTTCAGAGAACGAATGTTTTTCGTGTTTATCTGCAACAACAGTATGAGTATTTGCGATCATGCCTAGAATGACTCCAGCCTCAAATGATTCAACAATATGATTAACAATGATTTGCTGATTAATTAATGATACTTCTGTTTTTTTTGCTGCTTCATATGATAAAGGTTCAACATTCCGTTCTATTCTTAAATGATCACCCCAATAAACCCAATATTTATCACCATCTAAATCGGAACCAGCTATTTCATTTGGATGTGGGCGATGGCCATTGATTGGAAATACAATGACATCACGCATACATTCTTCTAGTTTACGATTACGAACAGCTTGCAATTGACGAAAATCACCGGGCCATAGACATGGATTTTTTGTAACGAGAATCGGGCCTCAAAAGAAATCATCATATTAAAAAAATCAACTACGTAGTTATGTCGATGCAACTTACCAGTAATCACACGAAATTTTCGTTGACCATTGTTTGCTGCATTTAATGATGAACATTGTATGAAGCATTCACCATATTTCAGTTCGCCAGTTTCGTCTGCTACACCAAATAAATTTCGACCATCTTCTGGCGGAATAGGTATTCGATTTGTAATTAAATTATCTTTTCTATAAGAAATAGTTCAGTTAAATTATTATGTCTTATTTTTCTAGATAGCAAAAAATTATTTACTTACGATAATGAATAAGAAGCATTTTTCTGTACTGCAATATCGATTGCACGCGGTTGTTGATCGTCAGGAACTTCCCATTGAGTAAATCCCCGATTTTGAAAAGCAATAAATACATCATCAGAATTTCCCAAATCACTTAGAAGGCGAATTACTTGATTGTTCAATGTTAATGTCACTAAATAATTGAATACAATATGTTTTTTAAACTTATAAATATGAATAGGTTACTTGGTCGAGCAAATTCACATATTTCCAAATTCCAATCATCACTTGGAAATTTCATCATTGAGTCACGTACAGAAATATAATAGTCATTCAGTGTTGAATTTGGATCAATAGCCACGATACCTTTACAACCAGCGACGCGTATTTGATATGCGGATGGAATATCTTCCTAAAGTTAGCAAGAAATAAATAAAAAGTTTGATTCTCTTGAACAAACTTTGCTGTATAAAGGAATATGCATTTGTTGAGCTACACGTCCAGCTAAACCCCATGATATTTTACCAATACCATCCGTAAAACAATATTCAATTCCTTTGGCATCGTTTCTCTTAATATCGTTCTCTTCATAAACATAATATGCTGTATCATTTGAACGTATATTACTTTTGTTTGCTACTTTAACCAACGTAATCTACAGAATAACATTATATATATATATATAAATATATGACGAAGTATTTTGTACAAAAGACACTTACACCTATCGGCCATGTGGTAGAAAAGTATTGACCAACACGAGCAATATATGTAGAAATATTTTTTATTTTATCAAAATTTCCTAGTAAATCATGTGCGTCTTTCATAGTTTTTAAATTCGGAGGTAAATCAATAAACCAAAAGCACATTTCTTTCATTTGACCTGTGCTTGCACCCATATATTTAAAAGTTCTATTCAATAATTCAATTCCATTGAGCATTGCATTTTTTAATCTATGCTTAATACTTGAACTGGAAACATGTAATCGTCGATTATCTTCGTCACGGAAATGCACAAGAAGAAATCGTTCTGGGCCACCAAATCTATATAGAAACTCTTAGCTTTAATATCAATGAAAAAAAACGAATGATCAAATAAATTTACTGAGGATTTCTTAAAGCTCGACTTCCGGTTGTAACTTCAAGTGGGTGAAAGATAATATTTAATGGTGCTAATGTACAAAAGGCAACTTTAAGTCGTTGTTTGTTTCCAACCAATACTGCCTGTTCGTCCATATTACTATCTATTCTTTTTCTTGTTTCATTATAATCTTTTTCAGTTCGTCTTAAATCATATCCATGATCGTTACATAATTGTTCAACTACATAACAACATAGAGTATAACGTTCATCGATATTCCATTTATTCCAATTTAATTCTTGATCAGTTAATTGTGCCCATTTATCTTGAAATAAAAATCCAAGTGACATAAGCATCTGTAGAGCATACCGATCTTGAAATGATGCATTTCTATAATTAAATGGATCAGGTGTTTGATTTTGATTTTTTTTTGTTGACCAATTCGATATTTTGAAAGTAGAAAAATTAATATGATATCGTTCAGGGTGATCGATTAAAAAATAAGAAAGAAACATCCAAACGCTTTCTTTTGGTGGTATAAAATATAAAACCAAATCTGAACATTGTCCAATATCTGTAACAAACTCAACATTCTGTTGATCAGCACATATTCTAAAAGAAATGAGAAAAAAAATAATTAAGTAATAACAACAAAAAATAATCTAAATATGATAACCGTACCTAACTGATTTAGTATTTAGATTTTTACCACTTTTATCTCCACCTTTGATTGGTTCCAGTCGATAAACATTTGGCGCATATTTAAGTGGAAGTAAAACATAAATTCCATTTTCTGCATTGTCTTTATTAACTAAAATATTCTTTCTTTGGATTGAAACAAATGGAATAACAATACGTATATCTTCAAATTCAATATATAGAGTATCTGGTATTGATCTTGATGGTATAAATGAAAGTTTAACAATTTTATTATCGAATGAATTATGTGAATAAAATTGACTATATGATCGAAGTGAACCAAATAAACATGATGCATAAAATGTTGTTCCTTGCTGGTAAATATCAGCCGAAGTTGTTGCTAATGAACGTCGCATAAGTAAATCAAGAGGATTCGAGAGAATATTAAACCAAACAGGTGAGTTTTCATTTGATAATACATGTGCAAGTTGATCACGAACTTTATTAGCCTCCTCACGTGTCAATGTAAACTTAATACTATCATTTCCATTTTCTCCACAATTCCTTATACCTCTCTTATCAAATGTGTTTGGACATACAAAACTAATATAAAATAGATATTTTCAAATGGAAAATAAAAATTATCAAATAACAATACATACGTTTCGATATTGGAAGCAAGTTGTTCAGCAGCTTTCTTCGATGGTATATGTTTAAATTCACAGTGAATCAATCCGCTCATATCTATAAAAAATATATTTTACTAAAAAGTAAACAAAATTAATTATTTTTAGCTGAAAATGTTAGGATGAGAGTGTGGGTGAGTATCAGAGTGGTTGAGAGATGTAGCGAACACCCACACCCACACTCTTAGCGTTTCCTCTTTTGCAAACTATCAAAGAAACAAAACAAGTTACAAAAACGAACACCCCTGTGACATCTAGAATCATTGAAAAGTCACAACACTGACCTCGAAATCTAAGTGAAATTAAGGCTTATGAGAACTTTTGTAGTAAAAATGGGCAACAGTTTATACAAGGATATCCATTTAAACTTTACATCACATACACACTGATCTCGAAAAGAAAAAAAACGCTGTACAGCAAAATGGGTCGAGCAATATTTATTGACTTTGGTTATTTGCAAATCACTTGTTATTCTGTCTTTTGATGTATATGCTAGTAATAGTTTCTTTCGTTGGAATGAATAAAAGTATGTGCAGCATACATAATTCACCATTTATATATGAATCTGAATAAACTATTTTATCTCGGTTTTTTCAAAAATGATAAACAAGATTATATATCTAAGTCGGTACGAAGTATTTGCTTTGCTTTTATTGATGATGATATTATGTATCTTCATAGAGTTTCTTCTCTGCTTGGAAAAGATAAGAATAAAAATCTTAAGGATGTGAGTGTGGTTGACGGTGTAACTATAGGCGTGGGTGTGAGTGGGAGTCTAGGTGTTAGTGCTTTTATTTTTATTTTACCCACACTCATACCCACACTCAGTTATTCTCCTTTGAGAAATATTGTAATACAAATATTTTGGGTGAATCATTGTATATGAAGTCATGTATAGAATAAGGAACGAGGGTGTGTGCCGGTGTGGATAGAATAAAAATAAAACGCCAACACCTACACCCACACCCTCAAGATGGACGTATTCACCAAACTCACGGGATCCAATATAATGCACAAAACTCAGAGAACTCCTAGAGTAAAAGAACTCTACCAAACTGATATAAGTCACGAAAGTAAACAAATAACTAGTTTGTGCGAGTTGTAAGAACATCAAAAAATCGTGAAGCTAAAGGAACTAAGAAATTATGAGAATTCTTAAAATTGAAGGAACTTGTATAACAATCGAAAGTCTCGAACGCAGGTATCGTATAGATCACAAGGACGTTAGGAAAGCTGGGAATTGAAAAAATGAAGAGCAGGCAGAAAATTCATGTAGAGGATGATAATATATTACTCATATCCACACTCTGTTAGATTCCTTGAGTTCCGTGCAGTCGATCGATTCTAGTTGGTTTATAGGTTCACAAATTTTCAAGAGTTCCGAACTCCCAGAACTTCGACACATCTCTTCTTCTAATGATTTGAATGTAAAACTTACCCGAATGAAATTGTTTAAATGAGGTAACTTGAAAAAATTGTAATAGTTTGTAAATTTCGGATGGTATTGTATGTGTGTGAGACTGAATGTTTTTTTCGCTGAATGATTCGCTTGTTTTTTTTTTATAAAGTAATAACATTTGCCAGTTTTTTTTTCTTTTTTTCCTACCACGCATTTTATTACGAAAGAATGTGGAAAGATTGAAAAGAAGACATTGAAGGTCCACAATACATAAGAAATGTTATTGGAAAGAAAGAGAAAAAAAATTCATATGAAATGATGTGGATTTAAGTGCTATGTAATTAAATATTGTTGATAGAAAACTGTATTCTTTGTGATGAAAGATAGATATGTCTTTGAAAAAAGAAATAAAAATCTGATGAAATAGGAAATTATGTTATTCATCAAAGTTAGTTTTATCAACGCACATAAATCGTCGACACCATATTGAGAGTGTCGATGTCTAATATATCCTTAATGCACGTATACATTCATCCTCATCTACACTCTAACTCTAGTAACGTTCCTATTCACAAAATATTCAGTCGACAAAATACTTTCCCATAGAAAAAACTTCTCCGTAAAGTACGTTCATTAACTTTTATATTTGAATGACGAACATCTTATTGTTAAACAGAAGTTGCTGCATCAAAGAAAAATTGTGAAGAGTGAGTTGATTTGATTTTTTGATAAATTATATTATGCTTTTATTTGAAAGAGAAGAAATCTTTTAAGAAAAATTCATTTAGGAGAATTAAGAAAATCGTTTCTGTATTGAAATTAAAAACAAAATCTTTTGATGAATATCGGTTAGATTTTCATGATTTTGAATTTAATTATTTCACTTCTTTTTCATTAAATTCAACGATTTTAGTATTAAAAATAACAAAAATTTCATGTCGAAAATAAATAAAACATTTATTTAAATAACTATTCACAAATAGATTTCCTATTCGAATTCAATTTTATTTTCTTCATCTTCTTCAGTTGTGACAGGGTGTGGGTGTGCGTGTCGGTAGATTTTATCTTCTTTTAGAATCACAGGCACCCCCAGACCTTCAAGATGCAACACCAATAAGTTTTTGTCAAAGAATGGTGTCTATTCTGCTCATCTTAATACGATAGTTTTTACTTTTAATCAGAATTTTTTTCGTTTTTCTTTTTAAATATTTATTATATGAAAAATCACAAGTATTTGAAATATTTCACGGGTAACTCTCAATTAATGTCGCTTTTTACGTATGAACATATTCTTTTCGTTCTCCAAAATTGTTCTTGTGTAACTATGTGAAGCTGCGTAACACGTTATGTTTTTAGTTATCTGTATAAGTTTTCTGTATGTGAAAGGGCGTGAATATTTAGTTTTTAATAAAAATATTTGTTGATGTAAATCAACAATTTAACAGGCGAGAAAAATCGGTGATTAATCGACGTTCAAGTACATGAGAATACAATCAAACAAGATTGATTTCTGAAACAAAGAGCGACATAACATTCTTAGATGTGAATCAAGTTGTAAAACGTTATTTTGAACTAGTAGCTATATCCTTGTCTGAGATGCAAATGAAACGGAGAAAGTTTATTTTATTTTGACGAAACAGATGTATCTATTGTATGCTTTTTCGTCGACACGAAGACTTAGATTCATCAGCCATTTACATAGAAGCATCTATCCACATCTCAGCCAAACACTTCATCTTCATTCTCAATCGCACTCATGATGTATATTAATAAACAGTTTGATTGTAATGAATAAGTTCTCTGTATTAAAGAAATTTATTTTTTGATGAGATCAACAACAACAAAAGCGATATAAAGTGAATATACTTAATAAACAACACTTAAATATTATTTGAATATACAACATAAAGAGAATGATACGTTAAATTACAACACAATATTAATATTGTTTCACTGTAATAGATCATTTTCTTATGTTCCAGTTCGAATAGTGGGACGAGTTTGAGCAATATTAACATGTGGACGTCTTCGATTAAACCAAATACGAATATCATTCGTCAGTTCGGATATTGCAATACTTGTTGTTAATGGTGCACTTAACACAGGAATATAAATCAAACCAATTAATAACCAATTACTATTGAGCTCTAGTAAGAGTGGAGTTGAATGTACTATATTGATGACTGTAGCAATACTTATAAGTAACCAAGAAATATATAACATTCCCGTAACTGATAAAAGTTGTAATACCATTCCTTTATTTTTTTGCCAAATATTTTTTTGTAACATTCGTCGTTTATGAAGAATAACTCTTGTAAGAATAAAACCGTTTGAGAAAATGATGACAAATAATGGTGCTACAAACGTCAAAATCCACACAAATAGCCCAAAATCTCGAATTAATATAGAACATACACTGCCACATACAATAGCATTATAATTAAATTGAGTTTGACATGGATAGAGCACTGAAAAACTGAATACAAAGACTACCGAAATGATAAGTATTAAAAACATTGGCATATAATGTAGAATGTTCTTGTATCTGTTAACACAAAGTGATATTATCAATAGAATTATATATTTAAATTAACTTACTTGAGTAGAAATTGATTATGAAATACGAGTAAGTAACGTTCAACTGATAAATAAGCATTTAAATACATAGTACACATATTAAGAGCAGAAATTAGTATATACCAATATGTACAAAATGTATAGTTCGGAATTGGTACTTCACCTCGATGAAGAAACATTATTGTAAGAGGTAAATCAAATGTAGCCTGTATAAATAAAATCTTTTGTTTTTCTACAGATAATATTCATGTATATATATCTTTTTACCTGAATAAAATAAATCAAGAAAAGACAAAAGATCAACTGATTATTTATTTTTTTAAATATTTCTTTGTTTTGTATCACACGATAGAATACAAGACATGAACCAGCAACAGATGGTAAAATCAAAGTGATCAGAAAACCAAATGTAATTTTTCGAGCAAGTATATTATTTAATATAGTTCCGGCACTGCTTCCACTACTATCATTTGAAGATAAACTCATTTGTTTTTCTCTTTCGCTCTTTTTAACAATAGAATCTAGAATAAATAATATGTATATATCCTGGCAAGTCTATTACAGTCTTTGATTTAAATATAAGAGAAGGAAAATATAATTATACTTACTCGCCAAGTTGATAGATTTAACAGAGATTTTAAAAAGAGATTCCTTAGTGAATGTATTCATACAGCGAGTATGACTTGTCAGCATGAGAACTCAGATAACTCGATTACTTTTGTAAGTATATACCTACTGAGTACTCAGCTACAAAATAATATCATATGAGTAGTCCAATGAAGTAATGGTGTATGAATACCTTCACTAGGATTGTTTGCTACTTAGAATACTCAACAGGGGATTATTTCATCTGTCGTTTTCTTCTTCTATCTATCTTTAATATATATCAGAGACCGAAACGGGGATGATTTTTTATCCTTCGCCTCGCTTCGCTTCGAGAAAATCTCACCCCGCCTCGCTTCGCCCCGAGAAGAGTCCACCCCGCCTCGCCTCGCTTCTCCACAGGCTCTCCCCGCTTCGCTTCGTCTACAAAAATAACTTTTTTCATTTGAAAATATAATTTATTTTATTGTATATTTAAAAAATTTCAAGAAAGAAAAATACAAGAAAAGAATTTTTAACTTTTAATATCGATCAGTTCTTTTTTCTATTATTCTCAATTGACCGTAAAAATAAAATATCATT